AGTGGGAAAAAAGATACTGCAAAAGCTCTCTAAAATCTGGATACCATGACAACATTTAGCAAGACATAAACTTCAAAAAACAATAATTGCTGCAAATGTTTATTTTCTTCTCATAAACCAGTTTCATCAGCACATCTAACAAACACAAATAAATTTTTATCTATGTCTATATTTTTGATATTTTCAGAGAAAGTCTGTGTAGGGTGGACTTTGCTACTTACATTAAATGCAATAGTTTGTATTTTTAATAGAGATGGCACGATACCACTTTTTTATGTCCGATACCGATATCGTAAATTTGGATATCTGCCGATATCGATATGAATCCGATATAGTGTGTTTTTTAATCAATAAAACGTTTTTTTAATATCTTGCTGCATTTTGTATAAGTTTTTACTCAAGTTTAAATAAATAACAACACTAAAGCTATTCTGTTATACCACCTGTATGTAAAAAAAAAACACTGCGCCCAAAATATTTCATAGTTCAGCAACACTGATCAATCTAATAAACTTAAGCCTACTCCATCCTCCCTATTCTGGTATTTTAAAGAGTACTTAGCAGAAATATTCAACAACCTAACTAATAGGGTTGCAAACTCCCAGCAAAAAAAAAAATAGGGAACCACCTTTCACCTCATGTTGCTTAATCGATGTAATCAAATTTAATTTGATGCAGGGGGAAAAATGCACAGAAATAAATTCTTTTTCAAGAATTATTAAATAGATTCAACATCTTTCTTCAACAGAATTGCAGACTGCACAGATGGTACTTTCCCAAAGGAAAAAGTACTATAGCTTACTAGGGTATATTAGACTTAACAGTTACTATATACAGTAATGGACTTCTATACATTTTACATCAGATTAAAACTTTGGGTGTAAGATTCAGATAATTATTTATTAAAAGCTAGACATTTTAAATGAGAATAAGAAAGAAAAGTATGTCTTTGTGCCCCCTTTTCCCTGTTAATGCCCTATCGGCCCCCCTGGCTAAACTGCTAGATCGTGCCTACCAGCGCAGCTCGAAAGTTTGCGCAGTGACGAGATATTGCAAGAACGATGTTTACAACAGCTTTATGCCAAGCCAGTTCCAGCTCGCTACGTAGAAAAAGATCCTGAGTAGAAGTAATATTAAATAAATTCTAACAACAGCTTATCAAGCTTAAACGTGCTGCTGTTGTTCAGCCGCTGGTTTCCTCGTTCTGGTGAGAAGTGGGCCAAAAACAAAGAAGAGAGACGGACTCCCGACAGAAAAGCCGATCAGCTGATCATTGATCAGTTTCACGATTGAAGTAGCAGGAGGAGAGTGAGAGAGGCAGTCTCTCCATATATTGGTTGTTAAGCTTACCATGGGAATGCTTTACAAACATTCAGAGATGAACTTACACACTTGCTTTACTTCTCTCTGGGATAACTTCCTCGGAGATGAAATGCCTGATTGCTAGCAAGGCTACAAATACACACAGCCGCTCTATCACGTGATGCATACTGCTGCAACTTGCTACGGTTATGAGCCGAGTTACGCCGTGTAGCAAGTTTTGTGAGGTGCTTTTTTGATATTTAATGGATCGGATTACATTTTTTATTTCTTGCCGATATCCGATCCAGCAATTTGGGTCAGTATCGGACCGATACCGATACGTAATATCGGATCGGTCCATCTCAAATTTTTAAGTCTTGCAAGTTCTTTCTTTAGTACATGTTCTCACCCCACACGATACCATGGGAGCCATAATTTCTAGTCCCTGGAATAAGGGCTTGACATTACTTAACTGTTCTTTTGTGATGGGAGGGTGAGCAAGGGTTTCAATATTTTTGGTCAACTTCCACCTTTAGCTTAAATACAGCGTAAAGACTTCTTTTGCACCTTTTTCTTTCTTTACCTCTTGAAGGCTGACTAGGCGTAAACCTTGAAGCTCTTTTTTGAACTTCTTATAGAACAAAATAACAGAGTTTGCATCAGCAGTTAGTCAGGGTGGTCTCTGATTTAAAACCCCCAAAACTATTCTAACATCTTTATTGATATAAAGATTCATGCCACAAGAATGTGCTGCAAGAAAGAACCCAACTTCTTAATCGACACAGTCGCTTAAGTACTGTTTTAGTCAACGGTACAGTTCAATGGCACAAAGGCTGGTTTTCATTGTGTTAAAATAATTTGAAGTGGAGACTTTCAGTTTTATTTGAAGGTATTACACTGAATATTTAAGAATTGCATTCATTTTTGTCCACTGTAGGCTCAAAACTACTAGTATCATAACTTTAAGTGTAAGAATTAGCTTCAACACTTGGGTAAAAATCCAAGTATTATTATACAAAGTTATCACAACTGAAACATTTAAAAAAAGGGCAAATCATAAACCTCAGAATTCAAAACCAAAAACTTCACAACAAGCAAAATTGTTCCTGCGGAGCAGTTTTTTATTCTTCAGTAAGCTAAAGCCGTTAAGGTCAAGATAGCAGAGCAGGCGACACACACTGCATGTGCTTAACCTTTTCCTGTGGTTTAACATTGACCGGGTGGGGCACTTGAAATGGGAGATAGCTCCACACACTGTGGCCTAGTAGAAAGGGTGAGGTCACTGAACCACACGCGCGCAGATGAATTATGATAGACATATGCAATGGCTCTAAGCTATTATGTATGCGGACGCACAGTTATTTGCAGAACACATAAACACAATATAGTTTATGAAAAATAAGTCACATCAAGATCATGCAAGGGAACCTAACATGCACATTAATATGTAGAAAACATTCAAGGGCAGGCACGAGTACAGAATGCAAACTGAATCAGAAATGAAGTAAACATCTGCAAGGATTTCCTCTCAAAGGTTTGTTAATATCTAAAAAATATGCAGATAAAAGCAAGCAAGGACATGTGCGTACAAATAAATATGGAGACATGCTAATGGCAATCACACACACACACACAAACTCTGTAAGTAAGCAAAAACATAGTGTGGACAAGCACGATGTGCGTGTATGCAAATATGCAGATGAAAACAAAGAGTCACACAGCCACATTTAGGATACAAATTCCTGCACACACGCACACGGGGAGGACTGGAGAAATGCCACGCTTGCTGGCAGTGCCATGTGTGACGGATGGCTCTATCTACAGTGTTACATGCCACAGAGAGCCAGAGGGTGTGTGAACGGAGCCACGTCCTCGAGCTTTATCCGACAATGATACGGGAAGGATGGATGTCGCGCCGCGAAGGAAATAACACAACCTGCTAGGTCTTTGACGGCAGAAAACAAATATAGCACGAGGAGAAATCTCTGGCTAAGTGAAAAAAGTGAATAAAGGACAGACAGACTGTCTCTGCTCTACTCAGTGATAATATGATCAGCTCAGATTTGCAAGCCAGGCTCAATTTCATCATATTGTTTTACCATCTGCAGAAAGGTAATACAATTAACAAAAACAAAACAAACAATCACATCTGCCTGGATATTTTAGATGCTCGATTTTATCGTGTTTATTTTTCCATCTGAATTGTCTATATCGTAATCTTCAGGACAGTCTAAATATTAAAGACACCCCTCTCATACAAGGTCCCAAGTGTGACCTCTGCTACTGCAAATGCAAAGGAAGAATATACTAAACAAAGGTCAGAGTGACAGGGTCTCCCCAGGCCTACTTCTTTGTTCAAGAGAACAGGAGCATATGACATTATTTGTGGTATTTTATTATATTCCAACCTAACCACTTTGGCAGGCAAACAGCACAGGCTTGCTATCAAACAATAACCAGAGCCAAAGAACAGCGATTATACCATCATTTTCCCCTGAAATGCTGTTTCCTTGCCAGGCTGAGAAGCACTTGGAAACAGGATTTTACAAAATGTGTCAATAAAATGCACTTCTGAAAGTAATATAAATCTCTGTGGGTGTAAGAGCAGCTTTTGAAGGCACCACTTTGCCCTTTCAAAATATGCAGTTTTTCTACTTTTGTCCTTGTTCACTCTAAGGTGAAGGATCTGCGCTTTTGGGCAAGGTCCCAGATCAACCTGTAGATTTGGTATAAAGTCACGGGAAAGGCCTGTGCTGAGAAATGTGTCACTACAGATTATTCTCCCATTTGCAGAGTATGAAGATAAGGAGAAAATTATTTCACACTTTCAATTTGATAGATGAGGACTATCAGAATGGACGTTTTTGTCAGAATTCTTCCAACTGCTTTTTTTAACGGCAAGGAATTTATAACATAGCATTTCTAAGCATACAATAACATAATTACTTCAGAAAAAGCAAAAGCAGTACTATTTGCCTTCTGAAAAACTAACCTTTTTATCAAACCACTGCTGTGCAATGATGCATTTCAACATTATGTACTGTAATACTCAAAGTTTGTAAAATCAAGCTAAAACTGAGGATTTTCTTCCACAATATAAAAACTTCAGCGAGAGTTTGAGCTGTCACCTGTGAAAGCATCATGCCAAAAGACACCAGAACTCAGTTTGGACTTGAGAAAATGAAGGATATCTGAAGATTTCAACAATCAGAAGCCAAACTGGATCTGGGTCGTCATTTTGTCCTCCAACATAAACACAACTCAAAACATGCGTAGCTCCTTGTAAAGAAATATCTCCGTCAAATTTGTAGAAGCTTGAGAGATTTGCCAAAGAAGAATGGCCTGGGGAGAAGGCGTGTTACAGACTTGTTGCAAACCACAACAAACGACTGCAGGTTGTTATCCAGCAAAAAGGAACTGATTGGTTTTAACCCTGGCTTTTTTGGGTTTTTGTAAAATAACTTTGCCTGTTTGCAAAGTAAAATAACAGAAACATCCAAAATAAAAAGCTATGTTCAAAATTCTTTACTCACGTTAACAGCGCTTAAAAAATACTAATAACCTTTTGTGTATTGATCAAACACATTTATATGTTAAAGCACTCCCCATATGTTTTCACATAAAACAGTGTCTGTATGTTTATGTGCAGCAGAGTAGAAGAGATACTAAGGAAATATTGAGAAGATAAAGTTACTCACCTCTCATGATGTGGCGCACTACTTTGACAGAACCTCCTCTTAGGTTAAGAATTTGATGGACCCTCTGTTGAAGCTACATGCAGACAAAAAAGAAAAGAAAATAGAATTCCTATTATCTAAAGCTGTATATTGTTGATTGTTTTGATGTGTCTTATTACTTGGTCTGTATTTTAGTGATAAACAAGAACTAAAGATAACATTGTAGCTAAAAAGACAGTTTCCACTTTGAGTTAATGCTAGTTTGCTCAGCTTAAAATGTCCAACTTTAAGCTAATTGTTTGCTCCATATGTTTATTCTTGGATTCTACTATAGTGGCTTTTATGTTATACTAGGCCTTTTAAACACTAGTGCTTGGAAATATTGCCTCAAATCTTTATCCCAATATTTCATTCATATTTTTTACAATATAGAAAACAATGCAGTGGTTGCACCTTGCAGGCAGTAGAATTTAGCCCAAACCCTGACAAAAGGTTTCAGCAGCAGTATTACAGTGTAACAGTAGTGACACGGCGTTATAGACTGTGACATAATGCAAGTCAAATGCCTAAGTAGTATTTTTTTTTTTTGCTGCAACTGCAACACTTTAACAAACTGCACCCATTAAAAGCTATTTGACCTCCATCTGTTTTCATAGTTTGTGTGATCAGACATGTTAAGAACAATTAATCTGAAAGGAAATTGGCAAGCCAGGACCAGTTTGCGTGTGTGTGTGCGCATGCGTGCACATGTGTGTGTACCTGTGGGATTCCTGAGTTGCTGATCTCCACCATAATGTAGCAGATCAACTGAAGAACAAATAGCCCGGCGTCCAGACGACGAAGGTAAAACTCATCCTCCATGCTGTCGTCCAAGATCTCCCCACGACGGACCATCTCCTGCACACACACAAACAGACAGAAAAGCCTTGTAAAAAGAGAAATGTTTTCAAGCACAAAGCAGAGTTTTCTGTTGTTTGTGGCACACTTATAAAAGATTCAACAAACAGAAAAATATCAGAGCCCAAGTTTAATTTAGGTGTTGTTTTTCAGCCTCTTCCACAAATCAATTTTCTTATTGACCAGACAAACAAATCAATCGATTTCACAGCTCTACTGCTGGCTCTCACACACTTACACATACGTACACACACTTGCATAGTTATCCATCTTAATGGTCCTGTCAGTATGCCAATAACACAGTGGTGCCAATAAGCACACAGCCTACATTAATCATCATTAGAGATCAAGAAGCAGACCTGAGGGGAGAGGGGAATCTGAAGCGTAAGCCACTAGAATGGCACAGAAATACAAACAGTGTGTATAGCACATTGCAGCCTCTAAGATTTACATCTAAACGTCATCAGTAAAGTCACTATTTATTGTGAATGATGCAACTGGCCTTGTAATAAAAACACTGAAATATTCATGTATTTGCAGAATGACAAACTGAGTGTATTTGGTGACATTCACAGGAAACATGCTTTATTAAGCTACCGATAATGCAAATGCAACCATTTTCCAATGATACACCTTCATATTGAAGCATATAAATGGTAATACTAACTTTTCAATGAGGCAGCCAAATTTCACTTTTACCAAGCAGCTAAAAATCTGATTCTTGCTGCCAGACAGAATGACGGAAAAGGGACACTTATTGCCTAGCCTCTATTATTTAAAAAGAATTTCAGGGTTGACAAAGTATATTGGTAAAGCAAAAAACAAAACATGGATTTCAGCATCAAGCTAATGGGTATCCCCATGACCTTCAGACCCAAATGATTTAATCTCTAAGGACTTCTCCTTTAAGATCAATCACATTGAAAAGCTGCCTCTTCTGAGGACTACATTACAAGACTATTTTGTGGAAGCCCTTTTAAACCATGTTGCAATGCTGGGAAACAAAATAGCATGTCAGTGTAAGAGACTTTGTGATTTAACAGCAGGATGGAGCCCCGATTTATCGATTTCATTCCTAAGAGAAGACAGCCCAGTACACATTTACAACAAAGCCCTGGTATATAATGCAGCTTGTTAAACATGCAAGACAATGCAGATAATTAAAACAAGAACCGTTAATAAAGCCATTAAATGTAGGGCATTTTTTGTCTTCTGTGTCCTCTGAGTAAAACCGTGGCCTAGTATTCTGTTTTATTACAAAGAGGAGTGTTATCGCATTGTAAAATAGAGCCCCAGAGCTCAGTCTTGTTGCTGTCAACCATACATACTAAAGATGCACAAAAGTTGAAACAAAGTTATTTGAATTTAAACTGCGTTGCCTTTCCCTCCTGTAGGAGGGGGGGGGGAAAAAGATTATCTCAGTTTCCAAGTCAGCTCATTATTAGGAGGGGATACAGTAAATCTCACAATCCAACTTCATCAAAGACACAAAACGAATTCTGAGACAAGGTAAGCCTCAAGCACCAGTGGTGCAAAACAGTGGTAAAGATATTATTATGCAGACTTCAAAACTACAATCCACGTCTCCATCAGTGATTCTCAACTAGAGGTATCCCTGCTCAGGGAGTACTTCTTTGTAACTGGGTTTTTGTTTTTTGTTTTTGTTTTAAATACAAGCATATTTGCATTTAGATAGAAAATGAATTTAAAGGAATGAGATGCTGAATGTTAGGGCATTTATTGCTATTGAGACTAGTAACACATTAACTCCTAACCAACAAGCTGAGCGCACACAATAAACCCTGTGCATTAACCTTGAGATTGCATAAAATATTTACGTAGTGACCTAGTCTAGATGTCATATTAGCCATCACTAGAGTACATTTGAAATAATTATACAAAAATACATTTTTATTAAATTGTTGATGGACCAGAAGAGCTTTGATGAACTGTGAGACGGATTCTCCAAAGTCTTTGGAAGTCTGCTGGAGAGACGGAATGCCATTGTTCCAACACATAATCCCTTAGTTGGCGTTTTGATGATGTTTGCGGAGAGTGCCGTCTGTCAAGAGGGTTTAAAAAGTCCCATATGTGTTCAGTTTGAGTAAGACGTGGTGAATCAGGGAAATGTTTTGATGAGTATTAGTTGTTTAGTTGGCTTTAGAGTACTATGGAAAAAAATCTTGCGTCAACCTTCATTTCTTTCTTTCCTTCAGAGTTTGTACAAGTCTAACAAGCTTCAAGGTCAGTGTTTGGTATGCCTACTTTATTCTGAAAAAAAGCCTGAAGTTTCTTAGGCAAGCTTTTTAAAAGTAGTCTTCAGGAATATTTCTCCAGGCTTCTTAAAGGACAGTCGAAGCTCTTCTTTGGATGTTGGCAGATTTTTGTTCTGTTTTCTGTTAAGATCCCACGCTGCTTCAATAATGATGACATCCAGGCTCTGAGCAGGCCTGTCCATGATCAACAGCATTCCATTTTCTGTTTTTATTTTTTCTTCCTAGTTTTTTATGACCATACGTTTCTTTCTTTTCATCACCATGAACTGTGTTTTACAAATGGGTGCACCTCTCTTCATAAGCCTTGTTGTCACCGACTTTCTTGTGTAATCTGGCATACCTCAGCCTCTTCTCCCCATTTCCCTTCTTGAAGAATGGCTTCTTGATGGCCATCCTTCCACTGACATCACTTCTGATAAGGAGCAGATGAACAGCAGATAAATCAACTAGAGGTCCAGATGCATCTCACAGGTCCTCTGTCAGGTCTTTATTGGATTTTTAGGTTTGCCCACTTCTTCTTTTGTCCTCCACTTGACCAATTAAGACAAACTACATAGCATGCTCAGATACACCAAGTTTTTGGTTCTTCTTAGTAATCACCTTGTTGGCCCAAAAATATTATTTTATGCCTCCCAAACTGTGTTAGCATTGACATTTCTTTTTACTCCAGCTAAAGAAATGGGAACACATAATATGTTTTGCAACATTTGCAGCCAGCTACTAGTAACAAAGTAACAACAAAAAAAAGTAAAACTATTCTACTTGTACTATAAAGCACACCTACCTGGAATGATTCAGAGAGCAGAACTGAAACATGACAGGTGATGCTGATTAAAAAATACTTGATTTGGAGTGCTGCCATGTATGCTGCAAACTGGTTATTAAGTTCAGTTTACAAGTATTGTATGGTGCATGACTGACTTAATTAGTGAATCCAAAAGAAACTAACAGGTTACACATGGTTTCCCCTGCTTTAGGCTTCATTAATTACAAGAATAGGGGGAAAAATACCCAAGTCAGCTAATGTCCCTGACACTTTAATATCATACTTGTGCAAAATGTTTTTTTTAATGTCAGTGAAGTATCAGATTTGCATCATTTTTATTTGCTTCCACAGTCAGAGGCTCAGTTTAATTTATTTAGTGCTGAGAAACTGTGCCAAGGAGAGAGAGGTGTTTTTCAAAATGACAGAAGAGGAGGAAGAGGGAAATGCTCAGAAAACTCCTCCTCAGTATGATCCTGGCAGCTACTAATATTAATTTTGAGAACTTTATCACCTCAACCTCTAATAGAAAAAGCATCTGCCCAGACTCAAAACACATTTAGTGTATAATTTTAGAGTGTACATATGGCCGGTCAAGGCAAGAGAAGCCATGATGTCACCAATGGAGGATGACAGAAAGAAAGAAAATTGCAGTTAGGCTTATGTTGTCACAGAAAATGTGTGCAAGGTTTTCTTTGCTGACATAAGACAGCTAAGATCAGCACTCTGGTATGTTAATCTATCAAAACACATATGACTAAGAATAATTTCACTCATCAAAACAGAAGAACAACCTTCATGGATGGGCTCTATGACACTTAAAGCAATATTATTTGTCAGATAATTCAATTAAATGAGTTGCGCCTGGTTAGTACTTGGATGAGAGACCACCTGGGAATACCAGGAGCTGTACACTTTTGGTAAGCTGTAGCTCAGGTAGAGCAGGTCTTCTACTAATTGGAGGGTTGGTGGTTCAAACCCTGGTTTCTCCAGTCTGCACGACAAATATCCCTGATATTAATCCAAAGTCGCTCTCTGATGCATTCATCAGAGTATAAAGGTGTGTGAATGTAGATAGAAAAGCCTTTAGGTAGAAAAAGCATAGAAAAAGTGCATGTATGAATGGGTGAATAAGGCAAGCTGTATACAGCACTTTGAGTATTAAGAGTTGAAAAGCACAATATAAGAACCATTTACAAGGAACTGATTTTTTTTTTTTTTTTTTTTTTAAATGTAATTTTAACGTGAACGTTTAAGGGGGTTGCAACGCTTTCAGAGCCAGCCTCAAGTGCCCAATAGAGAACTGCATTTTTTGGCACATTTCTCAGCTCCAGCAGCTGATGCCTGATAACGAGCTGTGTGAAAACACTGCTTTGAAAACCAGAGGAACCAGCTTCCAATCTAAGTTGCAGAACATACAAATCTAGGTGAATTAACACTGAAAGTTTTTCATTTATCTATATGAATACCCCCCCCCCCCCTTTTTGGGGGGTTTAAGGGACTAGAAGCACTAGAAGCAACAACGGGCCTCATCAAAAAGAAAAAGTAATAAAAATTTTGCAAAAGTCACCTGCAACACTTTACAGTAACAGCAAGAAAAGCTCGACAGATCAAGAAAGACCTACGAACGTGTGAGAGAGTGGAAGTTCTTTTTGAAGCATGACGTGCATTTACAATTTATTATAGAGAGCAGTGGAAGTGGACATTTGGGATATTAAAAGCTGAACCGGCGTAGGCACTGTGGCAGGATTCATTACAGCGAGAGAGTTTTGTTCACTCGTAAGTTTTGACAATGTGACCAATATCTTTTGTGTGTCAGCTCGGTCCCTCTGGCAAACACCGGACAGAAGAAGCGGAGGAAGAAAAACGTGTTGAAAGGAGGGACTGGACAAGTCAATTACTGCAACCTCAGGGGAGCCTGGCAGCTAGGCTACAGTACAGACAAAGTAATAAGCAGTGAT